GTATGCATAGTTCACAGAAGTACTTACAGGAGTAGGTGAAATATATTGCAAATATTTATTTATTTATAACTTATTTATTTATAACTTTTTGCACAAGTACATGCATCGGCGGACTTAATGCCTAAGGCATTCTCTGCCAGTCGACCGATTGGGCGGTGCTGAGAAAGAATGAGGTAGGTGCATTTATGGTAGGGTAATAAACGATAGAGGTTTTGTGTAAGACTGCATTATATGTTTGTATTTAAAACAATAGCCCTTAATAAGACGTATTTATTTTATAGGTATCTCTAACTATATGGATGGAATATTACTTAGCTTTACTTTAAAGTGGTTTTTCTCTGTAGCATATTAATTAATTGATTGTAATAATCATTTTTAAATTGTGAATTACAAAAGGCTGGTTGATAGTTTTTTTAAGATTTAGAATAGGTAAATCATCAAGGCTCTTCCAGCGAAGTTTTGTTCAAGTTAAAACCAATCGAAATTTAACTAATTCTACAGTTATTTTTATTATTTTAATCAAACATAATAAAAAAGGCATTATGCTGTTCGTAGATATTTAATTATTCCCTAAATTTTGGTGTAAATTTTAACTTTTAGGAGCTCCTACAGTACCTATTTACTTTTCTTATATAATTTTATTTAAGTAATAATTAAACTACTAAAATATTACTTTAGTAACTTATGTTGAGAAAACATTCGGTTCTAACATTTTTCTTTAGAAAAAAGATACCTATAGGGTACCTACCTAAAGTGTTTCTTAAAATATTATGGGATTTAGTAGATATACCTAGAGAATTAGTCTTGACCTTGGCGTTGCAGGTCATGTATTTGTAGGTTCTTTAGGAACTATCTCTCCAGGTTATAGTCCCGTACCTGGCAGTAGACGAAACTGGTTTTGGTCGGTTAGATTCCTCGTTATATCCGGTAAGGTGAGACCCGGAAATATTTGCTAATAGGTGCCTTTACTGATAGGAGAGGTTTTACAAACAACAAAAGTGGTAATAAATACTGCAAGTCGGCAATGTCTTATTGTTTTTAAAATGTTAAAAATTCTTTTCGAGGTTAGGAATCAATAACGTTTACTGAGTTATTTAGTAAGTAGGTACCTAATTGTAAAGTTCAAGTAAGGCCGAGGCCCTTTGACTCAATTTTTTTTAATTTTGTTTCTACTTATTCCTGCAGGGATTTATGATATCCTTTTACATTGTAGGTACTTTTGTATGTTTGTACCGAGTTACCTGATTTTAATGCTGTCCATATTACTACTTACTAAACGTAGCGAATTATTAACAATATCCCCATTATGGTTTCTGGGTGATCTTTTTGCGGCTACTTAACAAGTATTCTGAAAACTGATATTATTGTTTGATGAAAAACAAAAATAATAAATTGGGATCAATTAGTAAGTATTTGTATTGCACTATAACAAATATAAAACGATTTGGTAGCTGTGATCTGATTCCTAAGCCGGGTTAATGAATAGGTATGAATTGTTTTACAAGCGTGCAAGTTAGATAGGTAGGTAATGTCTATAAGAAAATCTATGCTGGTATTTTTGTATTTTCGTTTATCTTCCAGAAAAAAATAAAATTGTCTAATTATACAAACAAAAAACAAGAAAGAAACGATCACTTGAAATTTGTTTGTATATTTTTTATTTAAATTAACCAAAAGCAATTTTTGGATGCATCTTTAGAAACATTCATGAGAGTCAAAGAAAAAAACGTAGCATGTCGCTTACTCGGACGATACTTAGCAAAGAATTACCTCACTCCTACACCAACTTGCATTGGATGCACACCGTATGCATTATATGAAAAAAAGAGCTTTAAGACTATAACATAAAGTTTAGTTTAGCTCGTCGCACAGACGTCCCGCCTCCAAGGGGCGTCTGTTCCCCCTCTTTAGTCGCCAACGCCGAGTGCGTTCACACGAGTGACTTCTTTTAAATTTTAATCACAACTTGCCCGTTGATTTGGACAAAAAGTGAAATCGTCCCTTGACAACTTCAATGTTTGCATTGTGTCATTCGTATGTACTGCACTGACACTGCCCTAGGTACGATACCACCTGATTGAATTTTTTATTTCCCTATGATTCACTGGTTTTACTGATGTGCTTTTATTACGCTACTGCACAATTTTGAAAAATGTTATTTAAAAACGTTAATTAACATATGTATTTTGAAGGAGGCATGTATTTTGAAGTATGTTTTGATGTTTTCTCGATGTATGTACCTATATTTCTTACTTTTTCATGTTTTTAACTTTGAAAATGACGAACTTCTATACAACCAATCATCCCTTATTTTAGCCAATTTATGTTTACGGATACGCTACTACCAAAAATAACGAAGTTTCAAATAAATTTCCAATACTCATTTTTTTAGAGGTACAATTTTTCGATATCCTTTCTTAGTGCACACCGACGTCACCTAAAGAACATTTGTGATAAATTTCATGCTTCTAGACATTGCGCTTTCAGCTGTGCATTGATCGATCAGTCAGTGAATCAGTCTGTCGATGTCTTCTTTTATTTATATATAGATTTACATTTTTTCAAGAAAGCTTCAATAAGATTCTATGCACTTTATTAGGGAAATAAAATTAAAGTGACGTAATAATTGTGACTTCTATTTTGCCCCTAATTTAATTTTATCTGACGGTTTTGTGTTATTTACTTAGGTACGTGTATTTCAATTTATTTTATATATATATATATATATATATATATATATATATATATATATATATATATATATATATATATATATATATATATATTTTATATATATAAATAGGTATACTAACAACATGTACGAAATATATTTTCCTTTAGTTATTAAACAGTGTACCCAAGGCTAGCGTAATTAATAATTTTATATTATAACGTAATTTAGTGATGACCGAATCGTTTAAATACTTAGGTACCTTTCTATGAAAGTATTCTTTCAGAAATGAGATTGAAGTTTAATACTTTTTTAATTTTCAAATTGATCATCATTACCCACTTACTCATAAATGAGTAGTTTTCATGCCAGTAAACTTTAATTTTCTTGTCATGTTAAGCAAGCCGCATTTTTAAATTGTAAAATTTATGCAATGTAGTCTTGTAATAGGTACTTGCGTAAGTGTGGCCTTACATTTTGTCATATTACTCGTATATGTCTTTCACACACGATAGCTCAATTTTAACGCATGCTTTTACCGCTTCGTTCACAATCATTAAAAAATTCGAAGCCAGTCACGTGAAAAATATCAAAGGCTATTCAAAATTAACGAATAATAACAGTTATTATCGTTAGCTTACATGGAAATCAACAAAATAATTAATGCGATTCGTCACAATTCGCATATCGGAGGCCATTTGTGCCGCTATTACCGGCTCAACTTCGATAAGCTTTATCGCCTATCGACATGGTTAGTTTGAGTTCCTCGCACATAATAAATTATTATAAATACAAAACTAGGAGAAAGTCTGCGAGTTTAATTTTACGCAAATTTGATCTAACGCTATAAAGGTGGGCGCAATCTCGCGAGTTACAGTTGAATTCATTACGCTTTACCACTGTTTATTCTGCTTCGGCCGGTCGACGGTCTGCTCACTTCTGTGAATCTAATGAAGTTTATAAAGTGGCTCTAATTGAGCGGTGACTGTTGATTTTAGCGGGCTAAAATTGCAATAATTACCTTAGCCATACAATGAAAAGGTCAGTGCAATAAGATGCTTTCAACTCATTGTACCGACATGTAACTTAACAAATGGTTGTGATTGAAATGTAATTTAATTAAACACTTTTGATTTTCCCCTTTTTACCATTTCAGTAAGCTTTGTTGTTAAGGCGGAGAAATCCTGCAATTGAATAAGGTTAAATAGAAATTAAAACATATATTTTAAATCTTAAAAATGTAGGCCTGTATTTTAAGCAGTTTTTTCGTTTAATATTAATATTTTGGGCATTAAGTCCGCCGATGTACCTACAAAAGTGCAAAAAGTTTGAAATAAAATAATATTTTGTACAATGAGCTTATTATACGCAAGATATTGATAGGTATATAATATAGCTTATAGTTGGGCTTCATGAAGCGTATAACTATTGGGTGAAATCTACCCACGCTTAGGTATTAAAAACCTATGCAAATGTGCATACAACACCATTTTCTCAGGAGCTATTTGCGTCATGTAATAAAGTTAAGGCTTATTTATTCACGATATAACCGCGAATAATGTGACTCGGTAATCGGCGCCCGGGCACAGCCCCGTCGATGGCGGTGAATATCACAGTGCATAAATAGCGATGCGAAGCGTCGGCGCACCGAAGTAATTCGAATAAATACCTCGATACGATCGGCTCACCGTTTAACGAGAGAGCCTTTTCCGCGCCGCGGTGAGCCGTTTAGCGAATTTCAATAGTTATCACGCGGAGAAAAACTCGCTCACCGAGAGGGACGGGCGCGAGCGGCGAGGCCAGCGCGAGCGGGACGGACTTAATAAGAAAGAAGTAATAAAAAAGCGGTTGTGTGTGCGTGGTCGGAGTGTGGTGGCATGGGGCGGCGATGCAGGCCCCTCCCTGTAGCGCGCCGCCTCGCGCCTCGCCGCCGCCTCAGTCGAGTCGACAACGCGCCGAGCCGCACCGGTCCGCTCTACCCGTGTCTAGAGCGCGCGTAAAAAGTTTCTGCTACAACACGAAACTTGCACTCTCTTATTACGATTTAAATTTACGTTACGATCATTACTTTAACAGTTGTTTTATAAAAAGACATCTGAAAAGTTCGTGGGTTTTGTTTTATTCAATTTTCTGTGATAACACGATTTCGAATTTCGGAAACCATTATTTCTCAGGTATAAATAAACTTAGACTGATTTCTGTATTTGGTCAAAATATTATTTTCTAGTAGGCATTATAAAGGACAATAAAACATAGACAACGGCGAGTGTTATAAAAAACAGTAGGTTGTCTTATTCGCTTATTGCAAAGATTATGTTCCACAAGATCGATGGGATGTTCGGACGGTGACAGCGCGTGGCTAGCAGGCGGCAGGCTGGGCTCGCAAGCGGCTAACTTGATGCTGCTGCAGGGTGAGGCTCGGGAGAGGCAGGGGTCCGCTATGGAGGAGGACTGCTCCGCGCGGCCCTGCGCCACCGACTTCTCTATCGCCGCTATCATGGCTAGAGATAGACAAGAGAGGCGGGAGAGACGAAGACACAGAGACCCCAGGGAAGACACGCTGATGCCTTTAGGTAAGTCTAAGTCAAATTTCTAAATAATTTCATTTTTCAATGTTATTAAATTAATGCCTATGAACTAAACTTAAATTTCGAGTAAGTAAGTAGTAAAAAAGCTTGTGGATTACAAAGGTTAAAAATAACACAAGATTAAAAACAATTGATACTTACTACTTTTTCAAATTTTAGTAGATTTACAATTTGTATTCAATATTTAGCATTTAAATTATTAAGTACATGTGTATAAACAACACAAACAGACACATATCAGTACTGAACCTATTTCAGACAGATACTGTACCTACTCATTGGAAAAAAACTTATAAACTTATTAGGTGCTTCTTTAACTGCTAGAAGGGGCATCCCGTTTTTTTTTAGATTTCTAAACAAAACTTAAAAGAATATAAACTTACATAAGTACTTGTGAAATATCCGAAATACAGGTCACATAGGTATAAAGGTTTTACTTTTCTAATTTGCTTTAATTATCTGTAATGCGTTTCAACTACTATATTATTAGGAATAAAAATCATACTTGATAGTTGAAAAGTTTTTATTAATTCCCAGTTACGTGTTTCTAAAAACATGCCTTTAGTAGGAAACTTTCAAGTCACTTATCTCCTTATTCCTGTACTTGTTGCATCCACTTTCATTTCTCGTTGTTTATTTATATTTATTTATTTTACTCATGTGACAATTTATCCTACACTTTTTTCTGTGAATTACATGTGCGTAATTGTTTTTTCTCATAATTTTACCAACCCAATAAAATAAAAAAAGAATATTTAATTTATAAGAGTAGCACAGTACATTTCTAACAAGAAAAGTTACGAGATTGTATTTCTTAAAACCCACATTGGTAAATATAAATGGCATATAAAAGGCATAAAGAAAATATACTGAAATTGTAAAAACATTTTAATTAATTAAGTAACTCTCTTGACAGTTATTCTCAAATCATTTCAATTAAGTTCAGTTTTGTTTGCTCGCAGGCAACTTTACTACTATTCAAATTATAGAAGAAAATATTAATAATTCCACATATATTTTACAAACAACTTAAGAATAAATTTCCCTAATCTTTATCCACTGATTTGCCATGGTTGGCAAAGTGAAAACATTCCGGTTATTTATTGCCATCGTTTCTTATCGCAAATTAGTACTCGAGTTAGCAAGATATTCGATCCTAAAATCTAAGAATAGAGTAATTCTGTAACTTGCTATAGATTGGTATCAATTAGTTAAGTATAGAAGATATAAGGATTAAGAATACGGAGTGTCACCACCCCTATTTATCTTGTGGGTACGTAAGAGCCGAATAAGGTAGTAGACTATGCAGGACAACAGCACTGCAAAGAGAAGGAAAACTTGACACAAACCCTACACCGACCTGTCTGGGAAGCGTGGTATAGTACACTTCTTTTCCAAGGTGAGGCCTATATCCAGCAGTGGACTATTAAAGGCTGATGAGATGTGGTAGAAGATACATTAACCTTGGCAGAGCCAAATGGACAGGCTCGACCGGAGTGATACTCTTCGCCTCACAAAAAGCATGTTAGTAAGCCATTCTTTCGTGGATGTTCACGAATGAGTGAGATTATCAGCATCCCAAGCCCCTATTTCTGGCGCTAATGGACTCTTAGTTGCAGGTGTCCATCAGCAGCGATAGTCACTCATCATTAGGTGACCAGCCTGCTGCGTTTGTCTCATTAAAAAACAAAATCAACAACAAAGGACATTCACAATATTATGTACTTTATTCTGGCTGTATGAATTACGGTTAAGTAACACTGTATCAAAACGCAGTTAAAACATCGTCTAGTATTTTATATAGATCAGGTATATTATACCTCCCTATTTTCGATTGCAATCGTAATTTTATGACGTAGTTTGTACAAAAACTTTAAAAGTATTATAGCGATTACATTGAGTATATTGGTACAATGTTGCATTGCAACATGTGAGTTTTTATCTAAAAAAACATGTAGCTGCAATGAAGCGTTAGGTATAGTCAACACAGTATAATTACTCGTTGTCCTTTATTCTGAATGCAAGTCTGCAGTCGGTTATTAAAATATTTTAGTTGACCACACTGTTGAACGTTTAAAAAAAATGAAATTATAATCTGCAAACACTGTGTACTTCGTGTATTGCCCAAGCGGTAGATTATCCCTCCGACCACAACCAACAATATAAAAATTAATTCAGGGGCGACGCAAAAACCAGATTATATTTTCATGCTAACATTCTGTTTGGGATGTTATTTAGACAAACTTAAATTATTTAACAATATGGATAATAAAATGTTTGATCTTCTCTGTAAAGGCCAGCGTAATTTACGACACTGCCTTTTAGTTATAGTAACTTTGATAGTGTCATAAAATAAAATTAAAAATGGGAACTAAATTTTTATATCTTTAGTAAGAACACGGTTTGATTCTAAACTACGTCATATATTTAAGTCGATTATTTATCAGGTGCCTAAAGTATTTTTATGTTTTTTTATTGATATAGAAGGACTATTTTAATACAATTGTGAGGCATGTAATCGGCTTTAGTTGAAAATGTTGTTTGTTAAATAGGATATCTTTGACAATGGTTTGAATGTCAATGCTATCAGCTTTTGGATGTAATCGGGAATCCGTTTTTTTTAAATTGATAGGTTTTGGTGTAATTAGTACATTACTGCGATTAAATCCTGTCTTGCACTCCATTATAATAGAAAAGTAGGGATCTACTCAGTTTCTTTTCCGCTGATAAGTAGGTAACAGGTAAAATCTAATATTTTGCTAAAATTTTGTATCTATTTACGTTACAAGTAAACTTTTATTAAGAATGTATTTTAAGGTTAGGTTAGTTAGGAATTTAAGGTTAGGGATCCTGACTAGCCAGACATTGTCGGTTCGATTCCCACCTACAAATATGGTGTGATGAGAACGATAATTGGTTCTGTGTCTGGGTGTAATTTATCTGTGAGAGTTTAAATCGCGTCTCTCTACCCCTTCGTAAATAGAGACATGAGTGTATGTATGTTTATAACCCTAGTCTACTACCTACCTCATAGCTGTGCGAGAAAACGTACAAAATAATGACTTGCAAGAAAGAAAATATTACCCTACATAATCAATCAATTCTCTTCAAACAATTCTACAGATTGTAATAGGAAACAGCAGTACATATGCTTAATATAATTTACATGTAGGTATTAGCTGTTCATATGTTAAAAATCTTCACGGCTTTGATTGTCTTGTGTACGTTTTGCTTTGAGTGAGTAGGTACCGGTAACCGCTTACCATCCATCGGGACGAGAGCTTCTTTAACACTTTTATAGACTAAAGCTGTATTGATAAAAAAATTCAAAACTTATAAAGTAGGTATTGTAAGAATTACCAGCTCGGTATGTTTGTCTTTATTGAATGACATCATAACCCGTTTACTTGATTTTATACTACCATAATAATATTGCTTGTACGTAATGTATAATGAATACATCATTAGTAAGTTACAAGTTAAGCTAATAAAAGCGTGTTAAAAGAAAGTAAAGTAAATTAATCGGTTTTGTGGAATTTGATAATTAATTTCAAGTTTTACCTTTTGTTTGTTTGCATTATTTTTAGTCGGGACTAATCCCCACACGCCTGCTACTGTAACTTCCGTACACTTTTTTTTTTTTTTTCTTTTGTGAAAATCCCCTCGGATACCACCTGTCGGTGGCATGTCGGACTCGAACCGACTAAAACCGCACGCCGTCTCGGGTACTAATAGCCCGGGAACCAGGTATAGCCTAGAAAGGAAGTCCCTGGTGCCCCGACATACTTCGGGTCATCTACAGACGAGTAGACGACCCTCCCCCCCGTGTGGGAACCCCATGTTCCCTGTGCTCCCTGGAAGCGCGCCGCCACCCCGGCCTGCTTCTGCTAGGGTGACAGATGGCCTCACCTGTCACCCCCAGGCCTGAACTTCCTTACACTAGGATCAACAGTAGTCCCTTATCACTCGGGAAGTCCCCGGAAAAGTTTAACTGTCTTTTAACCCGCAAAGAAATTAATTAGAAGTAAATTGGAGGAGTTGAAAGTATACTGAAACCACTTCATTTATTTTGTCAATAATATTTAACTTAATCTCAGTATCATTACCTTTTCATTTGTCTAGTTTCTATCGACTTGCGCCGATGGTGGTGGTCTCGGGTCCCGTGTTAGTAAAGGCATTGTACCTTGTAAATCTGATTGCGATTAACTGCTGCGCTGCTCATCTTATATTCCACTTTAAGCGGCGGCGGTAGCATAATAGCTAAGGCGTCGGATTGCAATTAAGTTGCTGTGGATTCGAACCCCGCCCAGAACACTCCCGACTTGCACTCACAACCATTTTAGCTGAGCTTGAGGGGTTATCAAAAATAGTTGTAATGTGAATATTAGTGATGATCCACATAGTAGTCTTTAAGAAATTAAATTTAAAGTAGGTAAACCATTTCTGCCTTTTTAGTGCTTGAGGTTATCGTGGCAGTATTAAAGTTTTTACTAAGTATAATTTTTGAACTTTATATAAGGTTTTATCGACGTAGTTATCAAACTTCTACGCAATAATGGCTTTTCTTACTTTTAAAGTTAACTGTAAATTGCGGTGACGAAATCTGAATCCATGGAAATATTAGAACCTGAATATTTCATGCAAGAGAATACTCGTATAATTATAACTATCACAGTACATGTCGTGATCAGAGAATCATCTCGTTTGACTCATGTTAAAAGATGAAGATAAAGATTTTTTAGAATTTGTTAATCCGGTTAGTAGTTAGTGTTTAAGTTCTTAAAAAATTATTAAGTTTAGGTCCTCTATTATTATTATTTCCAATATAACTAATTTTTATTCGTATTTTACTTAAATCCCATTATTAAAGAGTAATCATAATAATTCAGTAGCCGTTTATCTATAGCTACAAAGTATTTAACTTTTACGAATATTATGTAATACTGGCAAAAGGACAAAATTACCTACTTGTATAAATAACGTCATTATCTACTATAGTATAACTGTGCAAAAATAAATAAAATTACTAAGTAAATGTTCGAAATAATTAAACTACCACATATTTTCTTAAAATGAGTTAGTTAGAAATTCGTATTACTAGTAATTTAGTATTTCATACACCTTCATCAGAATTTTCAAATGAGCACCAAATGAATGCTTTATTGCTGTTCGCCACCAATTTGTCATCTAATAAAGTGCGAGGGAGAAGTTGATAGGATAAATAATAGATATATGTATTTAAATTACGTGATAAAGAAATTAGGGATGTGTTGAATCGTGTTCATGCTGTCACTGTTAAAATCTGGACTCCAAATGAATTCATAACGATGACAGGTATCTTTTTCATCAAAACAAAATTTTTAATACCATGTAAACTAAATATACACTCTAATGACGTTGTTGTTACTGTCTTTATTGCTAGTGTTGCCCGTGAATTGCTCCGAGTTGACGTAGATATTGTTTATGAGTCTATCCTGGGTACAGTACCTATCTTTTTTTTATCAAAGTTACACTGTGGTCTTTTTGTATCCCTTATTATATGTATGCGTATGCAAAAGTTTATGAAGATCGGTTTAGAAGTTAAGACGCGAAAGTGGAATAAACAAATATATATTCTAAGATTAGTTTAGATTCATAGTACAGATAATTTGTTCTTCCAGAAAAATTCGTGGATGCAACAGCGTCAGCATCAGGCTCTCCGTCACCGCCTCTCGCGGAGTATGAGCGAGACTCTCCAGTTGATGTTTCTTCAACGTCGGAAGCAGGATCGGCTAGTGGAGCCCCCAGTGGCTCCAGGCCTATGTCGCCACCTCCAAGGAACCCTCAACTAGTAGAGCGATGGTCCAGTGAAGAAATGCGGCATATACAGTGCCACCTGGAAACTAAGGAGCTATGGGACAAGTTTAATGAATTAGGAACAGAAATGATCATTACCAAGACTGGAAGGTGAGTTGTTATTTAGTTTTTAGAATATTTTCCCTATGGCTTTGCTCGCCTTAAAGTATTTTCCTACCTGTTGGGACCAGAACTTTTCTGGATAAGAAGTACCCTAAATAACTTTTTGTACACTTAACAATATAAATATACTGATCCAACATTTTATACTGATCATTACAGTGGGTAAATCGTAAGGTAATAAAACAAATAAATAAACCACCAAATTACTACTCGCATTTATAATATTCTTAGGAAGCTAGAATTAGGGTCTCCTCTTTAATTAACAAATGTACAAGCTGCATATATTTAATGAGACTACTTACAGCGTATGATTAAAATACCATGTGAAGACAAGAATCGTTAATAAGATAAACATTATGACAAAAATACCCGAAAATAATCAAAGACAAGCTACTGACATCAAACATGCGTTATTAACCACATAAATGGCGAAACAAATTGCTTTTAGGCTTTCGTCTTGAACTTGACGAGAAATTAAAAACTCTGTGGTAGGTGGGTAATCGAATCGCGATTGTTGTTTAACGAGATCAAGGCAATATCGACGGCGCGTTTCAGAGGCGATAAGGTAGGTGGCACAGTGCACGGGAGCGGCGGAGCGAGGCGTGTCGGTCGCGGCGCGGTGTCGAACAATGGGCAATCGACCGCCACCGCGCCGCACCGCGTCATACTGACTGCGCCCGAGCGCTACTCGTACGTAAAACAATCAATGCATTCCGAATCAAAAATGTTACGATACCAAAATCACGACTGTCAATCAAAATGAAATAACCATCGAGACATTCGAAACAGACGTTTTTAGGAACAATCACAGTCGGTTGATCGATTATCAGACAGAGAGAAAACTCTGAAAAATTATTAAATGAAAAAATCTAGTGTAAACTATAAAAGTTAAGCGCGGTATAAATGTCAAATGCTTAGTGATGATTATTTTGTATGGTGTACAGGCAGATATGATTAGTGTGTGTACCTACGTGTTATCTGGGCCATTGTAGGACGTAGATCGCCGCTCGTCATAGCGTCTTGCACGGACGACGCTTATCGACATCAGCGTAAATCAACGCGCGACAGCTCACCAATCGTGACAAATTCGCAAACCTAATCTTTTGATAACGTTTCCAGCTTACGCCTGATATAGCACAGTACAAGTTTTAGTTTTTTTATTGGTAATGAATAGTGGTATTTTATACACATCTAAAATACATATTTAGCTGTAAGTCGTTTCCTACCTGCCTGATCCTAAGTAGGAAATCTATCCATTCGTCATCCATTTCGCAGCATTGTCTTAAAAATTATTTATTGTTAAAGACGTCGTCTCCGTATAAATTAATGCGAACAAAGACCGGGTATAGTGTACAAAACAATGAAGGCTTTTTCACGGACTATAAAGCTGTATTAATACCTCACTTATTTATTCCTTATAATGTTCTCGAGTTAACGACGCTTCGAGCGTCCAGTTTTTCTACCACGCGCCATTAAATCCGACATCTGGAAATATATTTAACTCATATTCCTTTCCGAATTTAGCAACACTCAACACAATAATAACAGCGTTGATTTGCTATAATAAACATTCTCAAATCGCGTTACATTTCTGCTTAATGGCGCTGTTTATATACCATAGATGTTCATAATTAGAGCACATTATCTCTTTTCGTAACAATCTATGGTTTATGTGAACGTATCGAGGTAATAAAAGATTTAATGTGATAGCAACCGTCACAAAGAGCTTTGGGAAGTCGCAATAGGAGACAATTTGCCACACACCGTCACGCGAGCTTATCCGAGTCGGCCCCGTCGATTAGCATAAATCTCGCCAACTAACCGTCACAAATGAACAGCGGGCGCGGGACGCGGACAAACAACTAAACAAAGTGACGCGAGCGACGATGCGATCGCGCGACTTTCGCATATCGCGGCGACGATGCGCGACGAATCGCGACCGTCGGCCGTCCGCATAAATCAGCATTATCTCGCGAGATAGCCGCGCGCCTGGACCCACCCCGCCGTATCATGCGGAGCCCCGTGTCGTTCCAAAAAATTAATGACTTGGAAAAACGATTCGCTTATGAGGGATCTTTCACTGTAATTGAATTGCTCCGCAGAGATCGACTGAATTGTCGCGTTATGTCAACTAGGTGATGCCGAATCAGTTGGACCCTTCTGGAATCGATAGCTCTCAGCATTTTTAACGATCAGAAAAGAAATCGGGAGGATTTCTATTCCTGCTTTATATAACGAATGGTACTGCCAATATAAATTTAGAATGTAGGATGGTAGCAAATAGGTAAACTAGTAAAAGTGGTAAATAATTTCGAAAGATTAATTGCTAAAAGTAAGATGAAACGCATTTCAAACTTTATATAAGATTACAACGCTCGTCTCTGTTGTAATGATTAAAACTGTAATTTTGTATCATTTTTTATGGTAAAAGTACAGATGTACCTACGTACATCTCTAGAGCTAACAGGAGTGAGGGAGTAAGCTATTTAAAAAAAAATACAGATATTTTGAGTTTGAGTTAAGAGTCCAATTAATTCTTTCTTAAAGCTTCTTTATGTTGAAGATATCATATAGTCTTGTCATTTGGCTGTCAGATGCAAAATTATTTTTCAAGACTGGCTAGTACAGAGTTTCGGTGATTATCATTCTCAATCCAAAAGAAATAAATCATTTAAATCATAATCAGAAAACGGTTCAACAAGTACAATAAAGTTATCTAACCAAAGAAACCTAAATAAAAATAAATCCTTAAAAAAAAATCCAAATCTAAGTAAAACAGCTATAGTAAGTACTTACCCTCAATATAACTTTTAACTTATAATAGCAATAGTTTGAAGTCGGTGCCATCTAACAAATAACTTCAAAGAATAAAACAAGGTCAATACATTAGATTTTTGTAACAGTTATTTTCTAACTCCTAAACGTCAAGGATCCTTCCATCATCAGCTCAGCCATGATATAACGACTACTAAACGCGAATAACTATAAAGTTAGAGAAATAAGTTAAAACACGTTGTCGGGGCTGTAAAATTTTGAGAGTTTTACTCGATTTCTATAGAATCCCATCATCAGATCGTGATTTGGTAATGAAACCACCTCGGGAGTATACCCTTTCGATTACAAAAATAATTTTGAAAATCGGTTCACAATTGACGGAGATATAGCGTAACAAAATGCAGACGTATTGATAACCTCCTCTTTTGTGTTTTGGAAGTCGGTTAAAAATAACAATCTAATTATAGATTAAAACAGTTTTGCAAACAGATGAGTATTAAACTGTTCCAATCAAGTCCTCATTAAAAATAATATTTCACGCGCCATAAAAAATTAGAGACAAATCTGCAACAAAATTAAATCCCCTCACATTATCTGCGCTCACCCCAAAAAAGATAATGGTGGCACGCTTAATAGAATAATGTAAATATGTCTGTGTTGGTCGCTAGTTGCCATGCTAATCGCGTTCACTCGGTAAGCTCGATTTTAAAACCTGCCGCTTTGTGCGCAGCTCTTTTAGTTTATTCAACGGGGAGTCATTTTTCATCGGCTAGCCAAATATTTTGATGTTTGTCGATTACACAGCTTTGTGTACAAAAGCTTTCATAAACACCGAGTCCATCTGCTACCGTTATTTATTATATTCTACAAATTAGGTATGTTTTAATATGTTATTCATAATATCGGCAATGATATATTTTAGCAATTGAATCAATAGTGATTATTAACTGTTTATTGATCTTCTTTATATTAGGATTTTCTGAAATTTAATAAACAGTAAATAGTGACATTTAGTAGTGACAATACATACATATCATCTTGTTATTATTATTAGTGTATTAATACACTAATAATAATAACAAGAAAATAGTGGTGGTAGAATTTTGACTGCAACTAATCGAATTTTGAGTTATTTCATTGTCCAGTATAACAACGATTTGAGGATGATTTCGAAATAACTCTTATTTCTCTTATTCGTCAGCTGTTGTTTGCTCGTTGTTTCTAATTATTGTTTTATCTATCATGAGTAGGATTACAATGTTATATAGCCAATACCTGATTATTTAAGTAACGATTTTACATGAAATTGATTTATTCGAGACACGGTTAAAATATATTTAAAATGACGTGGAGATGTATGTATTGTCACTACTAAATGTCACTTATCCGACCGAAATATTTTTTTCAAGTTAGTTCAGAGAGAGATCTCAGGAAAATTAAATCAGTACAACTCATTTACAAAACATGTTTTTATTTCATCCAAAAAGTAGAAAAAGATTTTTTAAAGTTTTATACTGTATTATAACAATAGATCATAACGAGGTAAAGGTTATATTGAAAGACATTAAATGTAAATATTGCGATCTGCCGTCACCACCATTGTGGGTATATAAACTAGAAAATAAAGTGTGGTAATTATCGCAAATGCCCCTTTTTTCTGCACGGAAATCCCCTCGCATACCACCCAACGGACTAAAACCCGCACGCCGTACCAGTGGCCGGGGAACCAAATGTACCCTAGGAAATCCCGTACTCTGACGGAAATGAAATCTGAACTTCGTGTTGATAAGACGGTATTTCTTCTGCGGTATTTCCGGCCCGATACGCCCTTAAAACCTTCAAGAAAAGAGCGTATTTCTTCCTATAACGCCGGTAACGCGTTTGTGACTCCTGAGTTGCAGACGTTCATGGGCGGCGATGGTCACTTTCCACCAGGCGACCCGTCTGCTCGTCTTAATTTCTTGACATTAAAAAAATCATTACATTGTATAAAATCATAATAAACATATATTAATGATTTCTTATATTAACGATACTGATAGGCGGTGTACTCGCAAATCTCGCTAACAGATTTAAATTAACATGTTTCTCTGATGCATAACACAATCTATCGTCGATGGTAGTTCGCCGAGGATGTTTTCGTCGGCCGTCGCTGCCAACACTCTAATCGTTGGAGCACAGTTGGCAGCAAGCAAGCTCTTTGATTTACTTCTCACCAGCATCTAACTATCGTAAATCTTCCACATATTCATATATACCTAAATACTTTTATCTGAAATGTTTGCATTTAGAGTTATTTTAACTTAACAAAACATCACACAACATCTAAATCATGATTGTTCCCGTTAGTATATTATTAGTCGACTCTTTTTGAAGTTATATTGTAGAAACTTTGGTATGTAACGAAATATATTAGGTACATGTTTTTTTTGTACGTGCTCATAATTAATGCATTTTCTTCTTTCATTGGGATTTAAATTGTTTGAGGTTTGCATTTCTTCAAAGGATATTTAAAAAAAATCTAGTAGATTCGGTTTTTAATATTATATTAAACGAAATACCTACTTATATTATCTGGAATAAATGCTATCACACCATAGGTATTATGTACCTTGGTCAGGTACAGGTTAACGGTTCCGGACTTCTGTTTCTAATAAAATGGTTATTGTTAGTGTTCAGAACTATTATGTCAAACGTGGCACGAAAAAAATAAAAAAAATACAAGAAGACTATCTATTACGAGAATTTACTGAAGTTCTATTCCTATTAGAACAAGAATCTAAAGAACTTAGTTTAGCTAATGTAGTTTCAATTAAAACTGCATTTTGACCTGTTGGAGTCACATTCGTTACAGGAATTCGGTGATTAACTTTATAGATTTAACAACTACTTATAAAAGAAAGACTGCTTGATGATCTTGTATATTATTTTTTATATTTAACTGGCAAAATATTGAAACCACGTATTTATTTTATTTTAGTAGCTAAT